ATATATATATATACATACATACATCGGACGAAGCACACTGCAAAGCTTCGAAAGAAAGTAGTGGCAAAGTTGTCGCTCCAGACGTGTGCTCTCTGTTTCTACCAGCCTCAACACAGTGGGAATTCCTGTAATCCCGCACGTGGCACATTTGTGCTATTGCAAAGCGTTTTAACTTATAAACTATATGCGGCATTGCCAAACCCACATTTACACCGACACCCTGCAAACAACCATCGTCGCGCAACTAACGAAGCATGACTGCAAGCAACACAAAAGAGGAAGAAAGAATCTATGTCCAAGACGGCTATAGTCAAGTCCTGCTTGCTTCTGCAGTTTGGTTGGGATTTCTGCAGGGGTGATACGGAAGATTGATTGCAACTGTTCGAGCTCTCTTGTTCCCTTCTACGGCCCACAATCCAAAACTTCAGATCGTCTTGGCATATCCTTCACGAGGGCTGCTGGGGCTCATAGTGAAACGCGTGGGCGGGCTCGGCTGCCTGGGTCCACAGCTGAAGACACTGCGTCTCTACTCCAGGATGAAGCCTGATGAAGCCCTCTGGGGTCTACACGTTACATATGCTCTTAATATCTCTTAAAGCTAGATACATACCTGCAACAACTTGAAAGGTCCTCGCTGCGGTGGCAAAATCGACACAGACACGCAAATACGTCGAAGAAGCACAGTGATAAGTCGAAGAATCACAGCTCAAACCCACACACAACACACGCGCACACACACACACATACTAAGCAGATCATGCGAAATCAAGACTGCAGTACAAAACAGGACATATTACAGTACCGCATGGCTCCAAACGATGTTGCAAACAGACTATCTGTTGACCCTCATGCAGAAGACATCATCTGGTAGAAGGGACAAATCCGGCTATGCCTGATGATCTCTACCCGCTACCTGGCAGTGTATCACAAAATCCCTGTTCTGCTGTCATACCAAGGGAGGGTGTACGAAGTGTACCGTTTGAATACGTTGTACAGCAGGCGTTGTGGGCTTTGCAACTTAGGCATATGCAAACACGCGCATATTGTCTTAGTATATGTCTGGTTCAATCATGGGTTTATTCGTTGAGAATTACCTGGTAGCCGGCAGCCCCCTACAAAGACGTACACTTGCTCGGGTGTTCAACGTTCCCAACAACCAAAGAAAATAACTCACTCACCATATGTCTGAATGTGCATGTGCCCCAACAGCTCGCTACATTCCTATTGAAGGCTCAACCCTGTGTGAAGGAAGCACAAGCCTCCATGATTGCTTCAGCTCCTGGCAAACCACCGGGATCCCGACTGAGACGCTGTCTCCCAGCAGCTCTTCTTGAAAGCACCACTATCTCTAGTTTCAACGCAAGCTCGAGCCCAAAGCCGGATCCACAGTTCAATGCAAAGTCAGAAAGTCTTGTCTTGTTGCGATGACATTTCGAGAAGATGCGGTCCAATGACACAGTCGCAGGGTTCGGACAGCCAACATTTCGGGCGCTTAGGTTTCGCCATTGCTGCGTTCAGTCGCTCTAGGAGACCGAAGCAGAACGACCGCTGCACGCCACTACGGCAGGACGGTGCTCGGCGACAGCAGCAGGCGAGGGCATTTGTCGGCTTTGGATGCGCTTGGTGTGACCGTTTTCTTCTGAGCGTGACTGGGCTCC